CCCCCCCACAGGCTGGGTTGTTTGGCAAGATCCAGACTAAAGTCCAGGTTATTACTCAGGTGGCGCTGTGAGGCGCATGTCCACTTGATGGCACTGGAGAGCCAGGAATGGACTGTGGCTCTGGGCGGGAACAGTGAGCCTCCTTGTGCTGGTCACACAGCACAGCGCACAGGGTAGTAGGCCTAGAAAATACTTGCCCTCCCAGAGCTAAGGGCACAGGGCAAGGGTACTTTGAGACTCAAACTAGGCAACACATAAATAGCATCTGCCAAATAAATATACAGTCTTGTGATTCTAAAATGAAAAGAAGATCACACATCACAGAAACCCTTTGAAGATTTTGGAGCAGTCATTTAGTCTGTTGCTGTAAGGTAAACTGAGTTTCCCAGGACTTATGATTTCATATATCTTCCTGTCAGGCCATGTTATCCTTATTGTAGGTCTGGAAAGAGCAGAATCCATGTTGTAGGTGGAGATAGCTATTAAAGGAAACAGAAGTTGCTTGAATCCTGAGGCCTAAAGGAAAGAACAGGTGCTAATTTGGGGTGGTAAAGATGCACCTGCACACTTAATGGGCTGGCTGCCTTGCCTGCCTGATGTGGGGTCCTGCAAGAGACTTAGGCTGAAGGGAGCCCTGAGTGAAGAGACAGACTCTGGGAGTCTGTCCAGTGTAGGAGCGGAAAGGTCCCACAGACCTGACTCTCGGGTGGTCAGAGAAAAGGGTTAATGGCTTTTCTGTTTGTCTTTCCTCTTTTATTCTGGGGAGAACTTTTGTTTTGTATGTTTAGTACCATGATGTAGGTAATAAAAAACTGGCCTGTGGACTTTATTTTCCTGCAGAAAGTAAAAGGACCTACGTTTATGTTACTGTATATTCCTAAGCCTTGCCTTTGCTCATGTCTATGTTGTTGTATCCTTTTTGAAATAACCATCACCTTCTGTAATTACAGAAGGTTTCAGCACTTTCCTGCAGATTGTTAGTTACTATTCTAGAATACAGTTTAATCTTTTTAAATTTTATTTTTCTCAAAAAAAGTGTTTATATAATCCTTTCCAAGTGGAGGTTTGGTTAATACTCAAAAATAATATCCAGGCACTTATTGATTTTAGTAATGTTGAAGAACTTTGCAGCTTTCTACAAACAGAACTCCAGCAGATTTGGTGATTTTTGCTGAACAAAAGCCTGGATGCAGGCCTAACCTGGCTTTGTATCCCCAGGAGGGAAACAGCAGAAGTACCTGTTCTTGCAATGTAGAATTCCAGCTTATGAGCAATAACATCATCGGTGTCATCACTGAAATTAGCTCGGTGCCTAGAAGCACAGTAGCTGACAGCATGCCTCATAGATGCTGCTCTGGGGATTTAGAATCTGATAAATAGCTCCAAAGTAATGCTCACTCTGGAAACAAATACTGCCGCCTCTGGTGCAAATCCTTAGTGGAAGTGTGTGACTCAAACAAAAATCAAGTGATGCAGGCACTCTGGTAGTAATGAAAGGTGGGGCAGTCAGGGTTGACAGACCAGACAGGTGTCTGCTGAGATGCTGGCATCAAGGCTCCAGGGTGCAGCTATTTCACCTGGTTCTTCCCAGTGGCAGAAAGGTACGGGAGAGGGAGGGGCCTGCAAGTCAGGTGCGTGCCACTGCAGAATGAAATGGAGCCAGCTAACTGCATCAAGCCATTTTTTTTAAAAAGTGGATGATCAGTTTTATTTGAACCTAATCGCTGTTTTTGTTATCACTAGGTATGCTACGTTGACTATGGTTTTAGTGAAAATGTTGAAAAGAGTAAAGCATACAAATTGAACCCGAAGTTCTGTTCACTCTCATTCCAAGCTGCGAAGTGTAAGCTAGCAGGTAAAAGGAACTTTTCAAAAAACCTCTCTTCATTTTGTGCATTATTACCATTGTACTTTTAGATAATTAAATCCTGGAATAAGAATGGAATAAGTATCTGAAGAATGATGTTCTTATCTGAAGATAAGAATAAATTCATGTTTAATGTGATCATTGCAGATATGGTCATTTATAAGATGTGATCATTATAAATGCTACAATGTTTGATAATACTTTACTTTATACTCCATGTACAACATACATAGTATTTTTATTCTGTTGGGAAAATATCTGTTCTCCATGTTACAGGCTCTGTGTACTTGCTTTTTTGACCTGAGCTAGTAATAACTGTTAGGGCCTGTATTGTTGGGTTTTGTCAGTGTGAATCATGCTGTTCGGTGAGCTATGTGGTGGCTGTCAGCTTCATTGCCATTGAAACGGGCCCTGTGGTACAAGTCATGCACGCCAGGACGCCCAGCAGCAGTCTAGCCACAGCTGGTGTGCGGTTGGTGGTCTGTCAGTGCTCTCTGCTGTTCTCCCCGACTCAGGGACGTCTGTGCGTGAAAGCCGTACTGTGGGGAGAAGCTGAAGGGACGGCAGGACCGGCAGGCATGTCATGATTAGGAGAAGCGGCATTAATGAGATAGGCATCATGCCCAAAAGCCTGAGCTATTTCAGGAAGTATCATGATTCTCATTGAAAATTAGCCTTTCCCAGCAAGAATGAGTTCTTAAGCCAGAAGAGCTGGATTTACCTCTACCTGTGACATAAATCTCAATTAACCTTAAAAGTCTGTTACAAACATGTAGATGTTATTTTTTGAAAAGGACATTTCAAGAGCATAAGATAAGATTTAAGATGCTGAAATGAAAGGTTTGCTAAAAGCTATATGCCTGTGGAACAGAACAAGGGCAAGGCAAGAGAATATAGCTCAGAGGGAGGCTGTGAGCTTTAGCTGTGGACTTCAAGGAGACAGAAGAAGTAGCACCACGCCACTATGGGGTAATGATGAGCAGGTTTAATTAGTTTAATAGATTAACTTAAAGTTGTCATATTGGTGATACATAGGATTAGAATGTTCAAAGAATTTGAAGAACAATTAGAATTCATTAAAATTCCCCTAATATCCATATTATGTTACAAAGGTTCTTTGGTATCTTCAGTGTTAGACTTTTCTTAAGGAGAAAAATTGATGATTTAAATTTTCAGTAAATATGTGTTCATTTTAAAAGAAAAAAATTTGTATAGTTAATTAGAAAATGAAAAAGTCAAGGGTTTATTTTTAGGAAGAGCATTGTAAACATACAGTATTGGCAGAAATTGACAGCTTCTTATACATATTAGTCTTTCTGTTTTAAATGTGAACACTGTTTCTCCTAACGTAGAAATTCTGATTGGTCATCAGCTTTTCTTGTCTTAAAATTGTCTGCCTTCCTCTGGGCACCGTTTTGTTCTGCCCTCCCACTGGTCTTGTCGCTGAGCTCCTTCTTCCCTCCTGGCGCCATCTTGTGTTGGGCCATCATCCTGTCTCCGACCTCCATGCTGTTGCTGAGCACCATCCTGTCTCTGAGCTCCATCTTTTCGTTTATCTCCATTGTGACTTTGACCGCTGTCTGCTGTCTTATCTTTGGCTTTCATCGTGACTCTGACCTCTCTGTCTGTGACCTCTGTCATGTCTCTGACCTCCAGCTTGTCTTTTACCACAAAAAGAGAGGTTATCATTGTAAAGGTATTCACATTATAATTTGTATTTTAAAGCCAAAAGTGGGTAATATTTTTTAAAAATGTAAAACAAAGCGTCCCTATAAAATTTAAGAGTTTTATAGAAGATACACAATTGTAGTTTAGTGGCTAAAATACACATAATCAATATATCCATCTTAAAATGATTTTACTAATGAAGTAGAAATTAAAACATTCACTATTTTTTCAGGGTTGGAAGTTCTAAGTGATGATCCTGATTTAGTGAAGGTGGTTGAGTCTTTAACTTGTGGGAAGATCTTTGCAGTGGAAATACTCGAAAAAGCTGATATTCCACTTGTTGTTCTGTATGATACCTCAGGAGAAGATGATATAAATATCAATGCCACCTGCTTAAAGGCCATATGTGACAAGTCACTAAAGGTTCACCTTCAGGTACCACTGTGACCACTGTTCTCATCTGTTACACCTTGCATAGGAAAAAAAGTTACCAGAAGCAAACATAAATTTTGAGCAAATAGTAAAGGCAGATTACATAGGTATTGAGAGGAAGAGGTAGCGGGAGCAAATGGGAGGAAATACCAAAATATAAATGGTAATTATTAAAAATTGAATTTTTGCTTTCTTTTCCCATCCCTACAATGAACTTACATAATTTGCAAAGATAAGGAGAGAAATAAAATAAGGGTAAATTATATCCATAAAGTTTTCAATCAATTATTACTAGTATTTTTAAAATGTTAAGAACATAAATGCCTACAGAAAAGGAAACCTTTATATAATTACAGAGCAGCCAATTCTAAAGAATATATTAAATGCTAAAACTGATCATTCTGAGAACTTTAAAGCAACATTGGAAAATGTTTATTTTCATCACAGAACATTGTAATTGTCTTTATATTATGGTTTGACATAAAATTACTAAATTAAATCTTTACTCTGATTACAATTTGTGAAAATTATTAAACTTAATGGGGCCTGTCAACATGGATTAGAAAGTTAGCTGATCATAGGATTGGTTGTGTAAGGTCTTTTTATTTTCATTTCTATTAATATTGAAAAAGTGTTTAATATTATAATTATTTTTGTAAATTAATGAGGAGAAAATAAACCAAAGTTAAAGAAATCTTTATCTTTCCGAACAGTGGAATGTGCTAATAAGTTATTATATAAAAATGTCTGTGTTGTGCCTGACAGACATTCCTTTTAGAGAGGGATTCAGATTAGTTTTTCACCTGTAAGTAATGATTTCATTTTATCCTATCTACCTTCCAACTTGCTCAGAAGGTTGGAAAGTCTTCATGAGATATTTAGGTAGTTACCCCTTGTGTAAGTAAGAGCTACAGTCTATTTTCATACTCTTGATGTATCTTTTGTTTGCTCCAGGTTGATGCCATGTACACAAATGTCAGAGTGACTAATATTTGTTCTGATGGCACACTCTACTGCCAGGTGCCATGTAAAGGTCTGAACAAGCTCAATGACCTTCTGCATAAGATCGAGGACTACTTCCATTGTAAGGTATGACAAAGCACTTTCCACCTACAACATTCGTCCTGAAGTAGTCACTAAACTGTACAACTGTGAATAACTTTTGAATAGTTTGAGGTAGAATCTCTAGAATTAGAGATAAGATTAGGAGACTTCAGAACTTAGAAGAGTCCAGATGGTTTCACTAATATATGAAATATAGAGAAAACAAAACAAAATGTCACACAAAACCAAACCAGAAACAAACCCTAGAAAGCTGACTGTAAATCTGCGGCTACAAGAGGAGCAGGGGAGGATGTAGGGAGCCAAAAGGAGAAGGAAGACAGTCGACAAGGTAGAGGATCTGTGGCGCCTTGATGCTGAGTGTGGTCTGGGGACATACATCTGAAGAAGTTCGGGCCTGTGCTTTTGATTCATACATAATGGTATGTACCAAACACTTCCTCGGTGAAATAATACAATTTTGAAAGGTTTGATCATGTAAAAATCAAATACCTGTTGGTTTCTGCATTGTAAAATGAGGATAAAAAAGTGCACAGCCATAGGATTTTCAAGACTAAGCACAGTGCCTGGCAATACTATGTGCTCAACAATACGATGCTGTTCACAGTGTGTAGGTCATGATTCTACAGCAAGATACCCGTGACTCTTGTTTGCTGAAGTCACTTAGGCTCCTCTGTCTTGGACAAAGATGAGACCATGAAATTCAGGAGGAAAATAAAATTTTTAGTTTTGTACTTATTTTCTCAAGCATCACTCCTCCGAACTCCCATAAGTCTCTCAGAACCAACCATCTCAGGAAATAGGGTTCTGTAGTTTAAGGGTATTAATAAGCTCCCTGTCTTCTAATTTGAGTATTCTTTTCTGAATCAGGACATGTAGAGGTTTTATTTTACAGTTCGAAGGTGATTTCCTTAAATCCATTATTAGAATGTTATAGTTGTGACCCAGAATATGCTATGACTATACCTTTGTGCCACTCCAACTGTGACCCCCTCTCACCAAGCACCTTGTCGCCCCTGTATGTAGCTTTGTATTTTAGCCCTTTGGATATTTGTGTGCTTTACTAGAATGTAGGGTTCTTAAGGGCAGGACTTTGCCTCATAATTTTTCATCCCTTACAGCATCTACACTAGTGTCTTACATAAAATAAGTATTCCAGAATACTTGCTGAATTGGACTAAACCTGTATGCAGACTACAGTCTAGAATTGAAGCATTTTATCTATAGCTCTACTTCTTTCTGTGTTAATGACATCTTAGATGTATTTCAAGGTCATTAAAGTTTGACTAGCTAATCTGTCTTGGGGAAACCTGGGACACCCAGAGATGCTGACCCCAGTGGCTCATTTGCATGCATGTGTTTATACAGGAAAGCACTCCTGATAGACCCTGCTTTTCTGGCAACCTGAGTAGATGCAGGGCCTTTGGAGAAAGTGCCAACCTTCATCTGCAAGTGACCATTGCAGGTTCCCAGCTTCAAGCTATAGGAGAATGAAGACACCCACAGCATTCATTGGCACCAGTGCCCATGTTTGTTTTCACGTTTCTTTTGTTTCAGAATTAAAATCATGTCTTTGACTCTAAATGTCAAAATTTAAAGAAGAGGCTTTAATGGACAGTGAGCTCAGCTCCCTCACTTTCATCCAGGCTGCTCTCCTCCTTTTTGACAGATTCTTTATCCGCCTTGTGTTCAACTTATGGCCATAATGAGGACAAATCCAACTCCTACTGACCTCCACACTGACCTCATTAGACCTTTCAGCAGTGTCACTCGATGAGCCACATGCAACAGCAATTGTATGAGGAGCACGGCAGGAGCGCTCTGCTCCCACATGGGTGCGCATATGTGCACACACGCTGCACATGCAGCGCACACAGCCGCAACGCCCTCCTCAGGAGGTCTGCTTGTGCGTGTCAAACAGTGGGCCTGTGGCAGGATGTTTTTTTGATGATAGAGCAGTGTGTTCTTTGCTAAGGGTAAAAAGAACCTTGTGTTTCTGTGTTACAGCACATGACCTCCGAGTACTTCATTTCAGTGCCCTTCTGTGGGAAAATCTGCCTCTTCCAGTGCAAAGGAAAATGGTTACGAGTAGAGGTAAAATCAGTCGCGTGACTCTTTTCTTTAACTTGTCGTGATGTTTCATACAAACAGGTTTTTTTTGTTAAGTGTAATGAGCACCCATGTACTCATCACCAGTTTGAAAAATAAACCGTGACGGTCCGGCTTGGTTTCCATGTCTGCCCCCTATTCTCCTCCTCCCTCTCAGGGTGCTGCTAACTGAACTGAGTGTTCCTCATTCCTCTTCACATCTTTATATATATATATTTTTTTTAAAGATTTATTTATTTATTCATACAGAACTGGGGTACAGGCCAGAGGCTCAGGGACGGTGAGAGGCTTCACCAGAGACAGAGTGGGGAGCAGAACAGGCAGATTGACGAAGTACACTGCTGAGGGGAGCAGCGGGCGGGTCAGGAGAGGTCTGGCTCGCCATGTGGTCTCCTCCGGGGCAGGCGGGAATCGAACTCATGCGGAAGTGGCTTCAGATTCTCAGTGCTGTGCTTTAACCCGCTGCGCCACCAGGGAGGGCCACATCTTTATATTTTTACCCAAACACACCTTTATCTATTTACCTTAACATAGAGATAGCATAAAATGCAAATACATATTTAACATTTTATCAAGATGTAATGAGCAGAGAACATAACTAAATATATGTTTTTAAATTTTATGTAAATAGCTAAATATTGACTCTTCTGAAACTTATCTTTTCATTCATTATGTTTATAAAGTTCATCTGTGTTGATAGGTGCAGCTCATTTGTTTTCAGTGCTGCATAATACATAAGTATGAACTGTGCCAACTGTATCACTGTGTTCTCCTGTGATGAATATTTACAGAGCTTCTTTTTTCTTTTTTTTCTTTTCTTTTTTCTTTTTCTTTTCTTTTCCTTTTTTTTTTTTTTTTTATAAATAGCAGTACCATAAGCCTTCCTGTGACCATCTCTTGGGGGATATATGAAAGAATGGGATTTCTGGTACAGAGAATGCCAGCCCTCAATTTTACAATATATTGTCTATTTTCTAAAGTCATCCTTCCAGAACTCCTTTGAGAGTTCTGGTTTCCTAGGGGAGTTTCAGATCCCCCCCCTTCTTCTTGGTCTCAGACCATGTCTCTGCCCAAGATGGTTAAACTGAAGTGCTCCCATAGTCAGTCCTCTATTTCCTAGTAATTGTCTTATTTTCTTGCAAACTCAGTTTTGAATTTGAAGGGCTTATTAGTTTTATATTGTAGGTTTTTGATATTTCACTTGTCCTATTGCTTAAATTACAAATTTTGAGGGTTCCCCATTTCTGTTTTATCAAACAGTTAACCTAAGTACAGAAACCCATCTGTGTTTCAAGGGGCTTCCTGAATCCCCTGGAATTATTGTGTGTGCATGTGGGTGTTGGTGTGTGTGGCTCTGGTACATTTTGGGAAGCAAGTATCCATAACTGTCATAAGATGATCATAGAGCTGTTTCATAAGTTATTGTTGACTCCTCAATCTGACTCTCCAAAACATTGACTTTACGTGTTTCCCAGGCCCAACTCTTACCTTGCCCTGCCTCTTAATTTATACTACAACAGAACCAAAATGCTTGTAGATCCCACATGTAAGAAATACACATGTACTTTTGCCTGTCCCTCTGCACTGTTTAAAATATCCAGTTACTCAAACTGGATTGCTGCCAGCCTGGTTAACTCCCCTCCATCTTTTTAAGGTCTTACTGAAAGGACATATATTTGTGAAATGTATGATTTGTAAAATATGAAATATAAATATCCCAATAAGTGTTCTTAAAATAATAACAATTTATAAAATTTAGATTATCCAGCCAAAGTGACTTAAGATAAATTACATCTTTGATTGACTAATGTAAAAAGTGATATTGTAGGAGACCAATGAAATGAAATATTTCTGTGATACATTAAGTGAAAGCAGTTATGATGTAGTATATATTAATGTTACAATTTGAATTGACTAATTTTTTATAAATTCTTGGATAAAAGACTTATGATAATAATTATCTGTGACAGATAACAAGTGATATTTATATCCTTGTGTGTATCTGAATTTTTTTAATGGACTAGAGGCATTTTACTAAAATTAGAAGAAAAGAGTAAATTTTAGAGAAAAGTACAAATTCTTAGCAAGTCTCCTCCTGAAAACTTGCCCTAACATCTTTCTGGTTAGATCAGTATCCATCTCTGTGTTATCAATAGTAGCCTGTGCGTAACTCTATTGTTGTGTTTACTACAATATGATTATGTAGTAATCTCCATGAGATAAAAAGCTCTCTGAGGTGGGGAAGTATATCTCTGTGGCCCGATTATGCCTCATATAGTATGCATCCAATATATATTATCCATACCCATACATATCTTCAGTATATTTGTTTGAACAAATAAATATACTTTAAACTATTGTACTCTGTGTTTATCATCTTTTAAGAGATTTGAAAATGTATCCTGTTACTAAAGCATCCTTGGGACAGTAGAGAAAGACTTGACTTTGGATGCTGCCGAGAGCAGAGAGTGGTCCAGTTCATCTCAGTGATCAGTGTATTGCAGACACCACCATTTCTAAGGGGTCATTTAGTGCAGGTGGGCATAAAGCCCCTGCCCAGATAACCATCCAGATGGTTCCATATTTGGATAATGTTTAATAATGGCAGATGTTACAGTGGTTCATTAAGGGAGTTTGGGAAACTAAATGGACATCTAAAATCTTATATTGTGATGTTACCTTTACAGAAGGAAATCATTTTATCTGGGATAGGTAGTTATTGGTTTAATTCAGTGTGTAGTTTTCCTATTTTTGAGTTACTAATTGGAACTCTCTATGACTGTTGAGTTTCAATATAAGTTGGGTTAAATGATATAAATTACCACTGGGTTTTCTGATAAAGCCATAAAATACCAAAATATCTTATGATTTAAAAAGAAGTAGTATTTACTTGCTACAGGAAAAATTCTTACCAAATTCTATATTTATTCCTTATGCAAACACAGTTTTTCCTCACAGTTTATTTTTTTTAAAGATTTATTTATTTATGCATACAGAACTGGGGTACAGGCCAGAGGTACAGGGGCAGTGAGAAGGTTCACCAGAGAGAAAGCGTGGAGCAGAACAGGCAGATTGACAACGGGTACAGGCCAGAGGTACAGGGGCAGTGAGAAGGTTCACCAGAGAGAAAGCGTGGAGCAGAACAGGCAGATTGACAGTGTACACGGCTGAGGGGAGCAGCAGGCGGGTCAGGAGAGGTCTGCCACGCCATGTGGTCACCTCCAGGGTAGGCAGGGATCTAACTCATGCAGAAGTGGCTTTAGTTTCTTAGTGCTGTGCTTTAACCCACTGCGCCACCAGGGAGGCCCTCCTCACAATTTATTTTTAAAAGTATACTGCATCTTATAACAGCAGTGTATAATAATGTATCAAATTACCTTATAATCAATAGTGCCTATGTATATATCTAATTGAAAACATGGTAAATATTATTATATTAATGAAGTTTACTGGTTATTGTTAGCTAAGTGATTATTGCTGACTAAAAAGTGTTGAAATAAAATCTCTAAAAGAACCCCCTTTGGTAAATATTACTGTTTAAAGTAAGAGAAAATAATGATTAACACTTATAGTTGTTACTTTTTATATGTCATTGAGAGTTAGACAAAATTTAAATTGTACTGCAGTGTTTTGGTCCTTTGGATACGCTAATGAATTTGCCAACATCGGTCTCATTCCAGATCACAAACATTCATAGCAGCCGGACTCTCGACGTTCAATTCCTGGACACTGGTGCTGTGTCGTCTGTAAAAGTGTCTGAGCTCAGGGAAATTCCTCCTCGATTTCTTCAAGAAATGATTGTGATACCACCTCAGGTACAGTCTGTTATAAGCCTGGAGATTTGCTGAAAGATATTTGAATGTATTTGTAGTAATGCTGTGAGGTGCTCTCTCAGTTTTGATCTTGATAATGATTGAGGAGCTCCCTGGTGGCCTAGGGGTTAAGTCTCAGTGCTGTCACCTCACCAGGGAGCTAAACCACTTAAGGTCAGCAGACCTCTCTGACAGAGCCTGCTGCTCCTGTATTTCAGTAAATTTGCCTGTTCTACTCCCCCATGTTGTCTCTGGTGGTGAATATCTCACCCCTTGTACATTTGGCTGACACCCCAATTTATCTATTAAAAATTTTTTTAAAAAGATAATGATTGGTCCAAATTTGGTGTTCACTAGTTTTCAGAAGTAAAATTTGGCCACTTTAGACAAGGAGGCCAACATATAAACATATGAAATATGGTTTAATAAATGTCTGCTTTACACGCATGGAGTCACTAACCTGTTATCCAGTTAGAGGTTTTACTTTTATCATTAGATGCCATTTTAAAAATATTGTGTGTAAATATTTTCTTTCAGGATTTCTTAGTTTAATTACATAGGTAGTCTCTTGAGAAATCTATTGTACTTAGTCATTTTTTATGTTTTCTCCTTGTTCTTAATAAAACACTAACTTTTGACCCACCTCGCTCCCTCATTGCCTTCCTGGCCTCCAGAGTATTAATAAAAGCATTCTCTCTCCTCCCCTCCAAGAGATACTTAACTGAGAGAGCATAGTGAGGAACTCACTCACGTCGTGAGGGAAAAGTATATGACAGAAAGAATGGGACTCAGAGAGGAAAGAAGTTCTGAAAGTTAGGATGTTCTGGAACACTGGAAGTAGCTTTCACTCCCGTCACAGAATTGTCTCCATCGATGCAAAGGTTTCCATGAGGCTTGTGCAGTGGTGTTGAGAGAGAAAAAGCAATGGGGAATATATGACTTAGTTTTTCTTGCCCTCCTTAATTCCTTTTACAGCCTCCTTTAAAAAATGAGCACAAATGCAGGGCACTCAGAGAACTCGGAGAATGCTGAACCTATTGCTGAACCTATGTAGGTAGCACAGGAGCCTCTAAAAGATCTTTGAAGTAGATGTCAGATTTCACCCAAATGACATAGCAATTTTTTCAGTTGAGCATAGGGGAAAGACCTAGATTTTTTCAACTTTGTGATTTTTACACAAGTTAGTCTCTCATAATCCATTTCACCACTTGTAAAATAGGATCACATATCATGCATAAGTATTGTTGGGTGAGAAGTCCTGCCTCCTACAGGATGAGAGACTATGGGGTAATATAAATAGAGCCAGGAACCCATTGGATGCTCTGCCCATGGACTGTGTTTATCAGTATTAGCAATTGCTCTTGCTTGCTTTCTCTCTTGGCAACATCTGACTTGTAGGCAATTAATACTGACGTTACTCATAAGTACCTCCTTCAAGATGGTGTGTTGACTTTTCCAATGTGTTTTCTCTTCAGGCTATGAAGTGCTGTTTAGCAGATCTTCCTCAGTCTATTGGCATGTGGACACCAGATGCTGTGCTTTGGTTGAGAGATTCTGTCTTGAATTGCTCAGACTGTAGCATTAAGGTTAGTTATCTTAATAGTCTTGATTCGTTTGAAGCCTAACTGGGATCATTTGGGTTCTGTGAAACAACTTACTATAAATTGATTTGTGAAACAAATTACTATAAATTGATACTTTCACATCTGACACATTGTTATAGTCAAGGTATTGGTCACCTGTGTAGTGATCAGAGAAATTCATGGCTTAATTTTTAAGAATTTATCCCATATCTCCATTTAAATTTTAAACCCTTATATATTTATCCCATATCTCCATTATCATTTTAAACCCTTATGTAATTTTCCCATTTTTAATAAAATAGCATAGAGAAAAGATTATAAACAAAATTATTTGCTCTGCCTTTCTCCCTGAGGTTTATTTGAACAGCATTATTTATTTCACTAGCATATTCTTTTTCTTCAATTTTACATCTTCATATCAACAACATTGCTCATATTTCCAAGAATAGACCTGCAAGATGGTATTTCTCAATTTTAACTGATAAAAGTAGTAGTATTTTATATAAGCATTCAACAAATAAATGTCCTTTGAAAACAGCTTCTTAAAGATCTCTAAAATATTCTAGCTTACACTGATTTTCTTATTTTCATACTTATCTAGTATTTATAATTTATAATTACACACTTAATTATGTACCACTTTATATTCTTCATTTGCTACCTGATAATTTTTTTCTCAGCTACTTTTTAATTAAATTCTTAAAATCCAGGATACTGGGTACTCAATAAAAACATTTTTTAATGGTTGATCTTTGAAATGTTAATTTCTCTGTCAAACCTGTCAAAGTGAAGTTGCAATCAGTACTTCATTGGCACTCCAAAGGTTTGATCTTCCTGAAGAAAAAAACTTTGAAGTGATTATTACAGAAGTCCCTCTTCGTGCCCTATTCCTCCCTTTCATTTCTAGCTCAATTTGACAAAAGATAGATGAGGTTAGAAACATCTCATTTTTGTCATTCGTAAGCTAACCTAGAGAAACTGATGAGAAGAATTCACAGTTACCTAACCCTTGGAGATTCACAGCTGCAGTGTGTGGTCTTCCACACAAACACTTGCTCCTGGCGGGAAGAGCAGAAGCAGCTAGGTAGTGAGAGGTATCCTGGGCAAAAGGTATAGGACTGTGATTTTGCTCTAGTCTCTGGAGGTCCTTCCTCTTTTTCTCCGGATCCCTTTCTAGTCTCTAGAGGTCCTTCCTCTTTTTCTCCGGATCCCTTTCTTCACATGTAAATGTGTGTGTTGTGGGGGGAGGAAGGCTAGGCATCAGGGAATGAGTAGGAGAGAGAAAAATGTGTTAGACTGAACAAGGAATTTAGACCACAGGACCCTAAGAATATGGTGAATGTCAAAGCTTTTTCTTTCCTTCTCAGTCTGAGGGTGTACCAGCTAAGCAGAATATGTACACATTTTGCCGTTATTGTCATTTTGTGGTTGAATCTGAATGGTCAGCACTTGGGATCTGATCATACTTTTCTTTCTTCCTCTGAGTATTAAACAATGCTTAATCATGGTAGGAAGAGCTATTTCCTCTCAGCAATACTGACCTCTAGCAAGTTATAATGCATTCAGACTCATTAGAGTCTAGTAAATTTTTTATTTCCATATGCTTGCTACTAATTTCTAGACTATTTTAACTTAATACCCATCACTACAACTATGACAGATGATTCATTTTACCTTAAAGTGAATTTTAGCAAGTGGGTTTTATTTTCAATTAAGGTAATATCTGTTTCAGGTGTTCAGTTCTCACTTCATCACTTGTGTGTGGTGTGTGTGAGAGAGAGAGAGAGATTTGATGTTTCAGTATTGTTTTTTCACAAAGTATTAATATTCAAACTTAATATTGTGATAGCCTCTCAGAATTCACTGTGGTAAATCTTTCTCTTTTGTGTGTTTTCCAAAGGTTACAAAAGTGGATGAAACCAGAGGAATCACACATGTTTATTTATTTACTCCTAAGAACTTTCCTGATCCTCATCGAAGTATTAATCGTCAGATTACAAATGCAGACTTATGGAAGCACCAGAAAGATGTGTTTTTGAGTGTCATATCTAACGAAAATAGCTCTCCCAACAGCAAGAGTGGAAATGCCCCCACTTTGGGCAGCACTGGAGAGAATACCAGAAAGAGCCTTACAGATGCCATCAAAAAGTCTTTGGTGGACCACACCAGCGCGTTCTCCATGGAGGAACTGCCACCTCCTGTTCAATTGTCAAAGCCAGGGGAGCACATGGATGTGTACGTGCCGGTGGCCTGTCACCCAGGCTACTTTGTCATCCAGCCGTGGCAAGAGATACATAAGTTGGAAGTTTTGATGGAAGAAATGATTCTGTATTACAGCGTGTCTGAAGAGCGCCACATAGCAGTGGAAAAGGATCAAGTGTATGCGGCAAAAGTGGAAAATAAGTAGGTTCTTGAACAATGATTTTTTTTCTGCTCCTAAAGTATATGTAGATGATACCAAGAGTTAATCACTGCAGGGGACTTTGAACTGTATGTGTAGGGATTTTGAACGTGAAACTAGGCTAATGAATTATGTGGTTTTCTAATGTGTGAATGTCATTTATTGAAAAATCTAGTCAACCATGTTCATCTTAAAACCTTATTATATCTAAAGTGAGGTTTAAATGTTTATCCTACTTTTGTATTTTATATATTTTGGACACCACACACCATGGTCAAATATTTCTGCCTAAGGACTCGGTTTACATTAGCTAATTTATCCCCAGATAATCAAGGGATATCTTATATATGAGAATATACTGTTGGATTTTTAAAATTTTATGAACTTTATTACTGTAAAGACTTTATAGCTGCTGTCTTGCTTACAACACAGGACTACTTATTAAACTTTGTTTCCAAAGGTGGTAAGTCAAGACATAGGAATTACGGGCACATTTTTTATTATGGTGGTTTGCACATCTATCTGAGTATAATAATCTGAAAAATCTATCAGAAATATGTTTTCTACTTCCAGACATCCTGAATCAGAATCGCTGGGTTTAAAACCCCAGAAACTGGTTTTAATAAACTCCCAGTATGATTTGAAGATACTATGGTGGATACTGATTAATTTTTGCATACATATTAACTAACAACCTGCATTTAACTAGCAAACTGCGTTTCCAGATGAAAATTTCAGTTTGATTGGAAGTTCATATTTGCACATCTTCATTTCAGTGATGGTGATGATGAAGATAACTGCTGTTAGCCAAACAACAATTCAATGCCAAGTACTCGTGCTCTCTGTCCTTTATTATTTCTGCAAGTGACTTAAAATTAAATATTACATATGAGAGGACTGAGGCCAGCTCAGGTGCCTCCAGCCCCCAAAGCTCATGTATTTATGTTACCATTCTGGATCCTTGTTGTCTCAGCAACTTCTAGAATATTGTTGGCTGTACTTTGGGCTTAGCTGAAGGCTTCTTCGGTTTCCCCCAAGGAGCTCCTGTTCTCAGTGTTTAAAGTTGACCTCTTCGTGGTGTTCTCCCCATAGAGAGCTCTACAGCAGCAATGCGGGTTTCCCTTCCCGCTTGTCTACTAGGCGCATGTTAGCTGGGGAATTGGTCCAGTCTGACCAACTTGAGCCAGCTGTGTGTTGCAGCCAAGTGCCTGCTATTCCAGGGCCTAGTGGCTCACATGGCTGATAAACCTGTTTCAGAGGATGACAGGGTCTGCTTCCCACCCCAAGGCATCCAAAACAGTAATTGCCTCCACAGACACTTTGCTTGAAGATATCGAGAACAATTTCTTCTGCCAAGTATAATACTCTTTAATTGCATATTCAAAACTATGGGACTGTAAAAGGCCCCTTCCTATCTTAGCTTGAAGTCTAGGCATTTCTAACTTTAATGATGATGCTGTAGCTCCAGAGAGGGGAAATTATATTTGTCTTTTTGAACTCCAGATCTGAAAACATACTCTTCTTCCCCATAGTCTCCTGCTCATTCTAGGTGATAGGTTAAATTTTATGTTGTGTTTTATTTTGTTTTTTAATGCCCTTACTTGGTATAATTTAAATTGTCAACTTTTTGTTCGGAATCTTTTGAAACCTCTTCCCAGCTTACCTTCCCAGCTTGCCTTTCTCCTCCACACATAAGCCTTTAGCAATACTGTAGTGTTTGTTCCACTCCAGACCACTCCGTCCTGTAGAGTCTGAGACATTTCTTTAGCCTGACCTGGTCCTCCTTGTCTTCCTCTTTCCATCTTCCACACATGTGCCTTGTCCCAAATATGTGGACTTCCTGCCTCCCCAACAGATTGAAGGGATTCCCCAGTATTTTCCTGACCATCCTCGATGGCATTTGTTTCATTCTGCTTCATGATGGTGGGTGTCTGTCTTGACCAGATGCCTTGACCAGCTCTGTGAGGCCTGTAGAAAAGTCTTGAGTGAGCCAGTTCCTTCAAATGAGCCAGTGGCAACCTTTGGGAAAAGGAAAAGCAGTCTCTTCTTAAAATCCTATGACAGCATGTTTTATATTTGGGTAAACGTTCATACTAATTTTTCGTATTATTACAAAATGTAGCCCTTTAAGCGGTTACTGACTATACTTTTTCTTCCTCCTAATGCCCATCTAGGTGGCACAGGGTGCTTTTGAAAGGAATTCTTACCAACGGGCTGGTATCCGTGTATGAGCTGGACTATGGCAAGCATGAATTAGTCAACATAAGGAAAGTACAGCCCCTGGTGGACATGTTTCGAAAGCTGCCATTCCAGGCAGTCACAGCTCAGCTTGCAGGTATCTCTGTAGAAGTTGACTTCTTGTCACAACATGGTTTATTTTGTCCCAAGTATTCAGCTATGGCATACTGAGTTGGGTTTTTTTTTCTTTTTCACACCAACAATTCCCCAAACATAATGGAAATCATTTGTAATGCTCTCTCCTCGCCATGTCATCCCACTAATATCTACTGTGTCTATTTTTCCATATTTCTTTCTGCCTCTGGTTTTATATATGAGTATATTTCAAAAGCTGCAATTTGGGCACAGATACAATATTGCATTCTACTTTCTTCATTTAGCATCTTTTCTCTATGTATTTTTGATCTACTGTTTGATGGGCCTGATGATTATTTTTTAATAGCCATAAGATAATTTGTTTAATGAATATGTCCCTATTTTTGAACAGTTGCATGTAATAGTAAGGAAAAAACTTGCAGCTATGTATACTAGCCAAAGTTAAACAGTAGAAATCATCAGAAAGACAACATTGCATAATTAGTATTTCCTAATTGGATACATAAATTATAGAAAAAATACATAGTTGAATATACACAATGAGGAAATATTCCTGGGTCACAGAATATGTCCGTATTCATGGCCAAGGGAGTTTCTGGTTGCATCACAGGTAACAGCTTGCAGGCATGCGTTTTCACACCAGCCTGCTGACTGTCATTAAATTTAATAGGTGTACAGTGGAACCTGGATGATAATACTGTTGAATGAGGTTTCTGTCTTGGTTCTGTAGTTTCTGGCTTGCAGTACAAATGTTGGTACTCCCGTGTGTGCACTCCAGGCTACTCAGGTAGCAGTTTAATGAAGCACCACCCAGCGGCCTGTCAGCATCACACAGCGTGTGGAGGCCAGTAGGGCTTGAGGGTGTGGACACTTCCTGTCATCTGGGACTGTCCCACTATGCTGGGGAGTTGTCCCTATATGGAGCCAACCTGATTCCTCATCCCATTCACCCCATACAGTTAGCAAACAATAGCAGACATTCTTTGATCTCAGATATGAAAGAAACTTGTAGAGTCTTAACTGGCTTTTATAGGCAATACAGACACTGTCTTATTTTAACTATTTGGCAACTGCTTTGTGAGTTCTACTGGAATCCAAAGGAAATAACTACAGGCACTAGTTATGAACCAAAAATGACACTTTGCAAATAGCATGGCTGCCAGTGATCTACTTGGAACATAAACCTCTAAATGATTTTTTCATATTTAATGGTTAACACTTTTTGCTTTTCAATATTCAGGTTTTGCTAACCCCTTTGGTTCAACATGACAGTGGGACTGCCCAGAGAAGGCGTCTGTGAGGTTTCAGTGTGTGACACCATCATACACATCACTGACATTGCAGCTGATCATAGTTAAAACTAAACTGATGTCAGTTTATGTGAGGGGCAAATTAATGATGAGAGGGGGCTTCAACTTGGAGGCTGGGGTTGTGGAGGACACCACATGAACTGGAGACTTCCAGTCAGGACTTACTGTATACAAGAGACTTTACCAGGCACTTCATTCCATTGTATTCTCCCCACAGTGGGAGGTTTAGGTACTGTTGTTATCCTGTTTCACAGATCAGAAACGGTGGGTTAGAGAAGTCCCTGTTTTTCTTCACTGCTGTTCTTCCCCCTCAGATGGCAAGCATGGTTTGCAGTCAGGAGGCCTGGATTCAAGTTGGTTAAACTTCTCAGTCCATCTATAAGATGAATACTAAATCCGTGTCCTGCTTACATCACCAAACAAATGGGTGGATCAGACGAGAGAGTGATTAGGAAGTCACATCATAAATTAAGACACAACACATACACACACAAAGTGCCTTTGAATACTCAGAAACTTAGTGTCTTCTCTTGGAGCTCACCTGTACTTCATTTTCTCTTCATCTCACATCTTCTGAGCCTTCTTTCCTCCCACTAACTTACCCTTAAATCACAAAACATAAATTCATCAGACAGTTCTCATCCTGAATTGAGGGTCTCTTTTTTTATATATTAATTTAAACAATTCTTAAAGAGTGTCTGGCAGAGAGTTTGTTTCTCTCATGCCTCCAAAGACCAACAGCGAAAGGAGCGACATCAATTGGAGTGTCCACGAGAGTCACCTTTTGTAACTAGTGTGGCCTTGGTTGATTTGGTTCACCTGCCAGCCCTGTATTTGGATATCTAAGAATATCCACGAATTGCACGGAACCCACAAGGTGTCCTGAGTGTTTAAATAGAATGTTTTAGGGATTCTCCAGGGACCCTGGGCTGCTCCCTGACCCACAGATGCCACCGGGTGCTCATCTTCCCCACGAGCTGTTTTGGCTCATCCTGATATGGGCACCTTGTGTCTCCTGGCTCGCATGTGACCGAGCCACACTGGGCTCTAAGGAGAGCTATCTTATCTTAAATAATGTGACACAACACTTGTCAGGGACGATGAAAATACATTGAGACTTGTAGGCTTCTCTTGCGTGAAATTATTGATAATCAAAGATTTTAGTGTACTCACTGTAGATAGGTATCAGGTCTTTCAGGTGTGAAACTGCCAAACCTGCATCAGTATGGCGCATAGTTTGTAGTTTATCTAATCTAGTATACATAGGTTTAATTTATGCTAGTTTAGTACTACTCTTGAAACATACCTGTCTTAGTTTTTTTTGTGTGTGTGTGTGTTTTAACTAAATTTGGAATTCTCTAACTTCAGTTCTCAACTTTAAGTCATGGGGATTTAGAAATGCGTCGGGCTTCAAATTCATCCAGTCCAATCAATTTCCTTTATGTTAACTAAACAGAGGCCTCAGAGATAGCGGATTTACCCAAAATCACATTACTTGAGGGGAGAGCTGACTTTCAGTCAATGCTTTTGCCATGATGTGGTATATAATTTTGAAAAATCAGTATGCTGTAAACTTATTAGTCTTTTTTTTAATTGTATCTGGTTCATTAGGGGAGAAGTCTATAAGTAAGAGAAATATTATTGATATTTTATCCTCCCTGGTTATCTCCATGATCTGTTTAAATCGACATTATACCTGATGTATGAGAAATAGGCTATAGTTGTTAATTACCTTATTTTATAATACAGCATTAAATCTCAGTGGACACTTGAGTCTGTAGGTAAAGGTTTACAGAAATAGCCCCATTCCAGGAAGAAAAGCTGTAATTAAACTGCTCTAAGACAGCTCAGCAACTGTTTTTCAGTGAGGCAAGTCTAACCTGGTATGCTTAACGATACTTGGGGACTGACTAAGTAGTTTTCCATTGTAATGTTTGACCTCTCACTACTCCCTGCTTTTCTCCTAGGAGTGAAATGCAACCAGTGGTCTGAGGAGACTTCTATGGTGTTTCGAAATCATGTGGAGAAGAAACCTCTGGTGGCACTGGTGCAGACAGTCATTGAAAGTGCCAACCCATGGGACCGGAAGGTAGTGGTCTACTTAGTGGACACCTCGCTGCCAGACACAGATATCTGGATTCATGATTTTATGTCAGAGTATCTGGTAGAGCTTTCAAAAGTTAATTAATCACTGCTTCTGAGCCCTTGACAGCTAATTCAGATATTTTAGCAATAACAAAATGTAGTAGGTTTAAAAAGGAAATCTTACCTCTGCTATATAGCTCTGACTCCTAGGGGGATTGAAAAGAATATGCTTATGTTTGATGAAAGATATTTAACAAGTTTTGTTTTAACAGAGTTGACTTTTCAAAGAAAATTACACTTGAATTATTACTATAATATTAGAATAAAATGTTTATCAGTATAAAAACTGAGTACCGTCTAATTTCCAAGCTTTATGATCTTAAGATGAAGCGTTTTCCTTTCTATTCAAGCTGTCTTCCTTGTGGTGCTGGGTTCTTCTCCAGTTGGATTGAGAATTTCATGGCTTAACTCTACCTGACAGTGATACTTCCCAAAGCACGTGGTCAGCAAACTATGCGGTGACCACCGAGTTTTCAGCACATCCACGTTGCTAGTGCTGCAAACAGGAGGAGCAGCCCAGGCAAAGCAACATGCCCTTCACCCTAAACTGAAGCATCCAGACCAAAGGCCCAGGCCTTCTACAGTCTCTCTACCCAGCACTATTCCCCACCACTCCCTGTTTCAGCCACACTGGACTTTTTTTCTAGTCCCTGAACCCCATGGCTGCTCATCCAGAGCTGCAGACATTCCCAAGCAAGCCTTGCCCCTCGTCGTGCTTGTTCTGTGTCCTCAGCCTGGAGTCCATTCTCCCTTCCACCCTTGTTGCTTGTCAGATCCTCTCTGACCTCCCAAGCTGACCATGAGGCCTGCCCTGAGGCCCCTTCCACGTCCTTGTATTTTGAGTAGTCTCTCTCAGCACCCAGGTCTTACTGAGCTCTATGGCGGATAACTAGTCTGTGTACCATCCACCCCCAACAGCTTGTGAGCCCCTTGAGAGAGGAAAGAGTCTCAGTCATGTCGCTATCCTGTGATATGCTGGTAAGTGGGATATGCGAGTAAATGCTAGACAAGTGATTGGGGGTAGGAAGAGAGGCAAAGCAGAGAGTGAGCCTTGATTTGTAGTGTGTAAAGTCTCACGTTGCAAGTACTCCCACCGCTTCTGAGTTCCAAGTAACAACATGACATGGCTGAACGTGGAGTTGGGAAGAGATCCATGCAGGTGGCTCTCGGAAGCCTGCAGCAGACAGCAGCACACTGCCATCTGTGGCTGCAAGAGAGAAGCACTTGTGCAAATCAGCCCCCCATTGTGTGCTTGCCAAAGTGGGGAGATGGGTAGACAGAAGGAAGGGTTGGAGGCCCTAACAGTGTAACAGTGGCCCAAAGATGAGGTGAGAGACCTGGACTAAGAGCGGAGAAATGGGAATAAAGAAACAATAGCAGAAGCTTTTTAAAGTTTTTAATCATTACAGCTGACAGTTTAGATACAGATACAAGGAAATGGAGGCCCCAACGGGTGACTCCAGGTGTTACGGTCTGAGAGCTACGAGGGCAACCCTTTTCACTCAGCGTGACTTAGAGGTTGGAACTTGTGATTTTGGACATACTGAGTTTAAGCCGAGAGACCTCTGTATGAAGAGGTGTATGAACTCTTGGAAATAGGGAGTGGATTTCAGAGTAGAAGATCAGGCTAGAGATAAAAGTCATTTGCTTGCTTGCTTGCTTGGTTTTTTTTTTGTTTTTTGTTTTTTGTTTTTTTTTTTAGCAAATCAAGGAACATGATTTGAGAAAATCTAGGAACCTGACAACAAAAAGTATAAAGATCAGATGTTTTAGGTTTTTCATGTAAAACATTAAAATCTTTCAGCTCTTAAAATTGTTAAAACTGTTGTCAATACTTAACAATTCGAGTGATTCAAAATTCAGGGATGCTAGTGCCAGAGATTTACATAATCATCCATAATGAAACAAAATATTCTGACACACAAATGTTTAAGTGAAATTTTTAAAATATTCTTCCTTTCCTTAACAAAAGAATAACAAAAATCCTCTAGTGGTCTACTGGTAAGAGGTGATTTCTATTTTACTGGCCATAGACGTGTTCCCATTACTTTTTTAAGATAGAGCCATTAATTGTATGTTGATGTGACTGAAATACTACTCTGGTGTTAGGACAGTCCGACAGGTAAATGGAACTTGACCTCGTCTTCATACCATTTTCAAAAATCACTTTCAGATGGATTGTAACCTAAAAACCCAAGGCCAAAGTAGGAAGGTAGCACAGGAAAAGTTATAATTCAGGAATGGGAAAGACTTCTTAGAGGGGACACACACAGGACTAACAATAAGGGATTGATGTCTTAGACTACATTAAAATTGACACCTGTATCAAGAGACATGAAAGTGAAGAGGCAAAGTGCAGGTTGGAAGAATATAGTTGGGTGTGTGTATGTGTGTGTAATGGGAAATATAGAGATTGAATATATCACATTAGCAGACTATCTAGAAGCAAAATGAGCTATAAGTTTAACACTTCACAAGAGAAGTCCAACTGGTCAGTAAACACAAAAGGCACTCAGTCCATTAGGACGCAGAGAAATGCAAATTCAGAGCACCAGGACACCATTACTCAGGCCCAGATGTCTCACTGTGTTAATGGTAGGTACTGAAAATGTGTGCCCATGCGCAGGAGGTCAGCAGGATGTTTACAGCCATAGTATTGGTAATGACTAAAACCTGGAAACCACTTAAGTGTCTTTTAACAGTTTTTTTTTTTTGAAATGCCATTTTTTTAAAGATAATATTTATGCCTACAGAACTGGGGTACAGGCCATAGATGCATGGACTGTCAGAGAATTCACCAGAGTGGGGAGCAGAACAGGCAGATCTGTGAAACACTGCTGAGGAAAACAGCGGGCGGGTCAGGAGAGGTCTGCTATGCCATGTGGGTCACCTCTGGGCTGGGGTTCGAACTGGCGCTGAAGCTGCCGTGGCCAGCTTCACAGTGCTGCACTCCAACCACAGTGCCACCAGGGAGGGCCCAACAGTCAGTTTTTTTAAAACTCTGCTTTATTCATACAATGAAAACTCTACAGCAATAAGTATGCAAATTACAGCCTACTTGGTTAAGAGAGGTGAGCACTGGATAGAGGAAAGAGACAAGCAACAAAGTGATTAAGAATCAAAGACACAACCTCTCTAGGAGGGAGCAGTGACACCCAAGGGGACAGATTGACCTCTAGGCTGCAGGCAATGTTGCTGCTTGTCTGAGATGGTTGCAACAGGTGTTGGTGCTATAAAAACTCTTGAAGACAGCAAACATGTAATTTCTTGATCTGAAATACTAAAATCTTTTTGCTTTATTTAAAAATATATTTGGCATGTATATCATTGGGGGGATCTCTTACGCTGGGGTTTTGTAATGCAGGAATATATTTTCGTGAATAAATAAGATTAACAAACAAACCTATGCACCAGGATTAAAAGGAGTTAATTCGCTTACGGTCTGCTACATGAGAAATTTCCCATAAAATTCAAAAAAGACAACTCTGTCGATTAAAAAGAAAATCCGTTCATGAGTCTTTCTAAAATCAAAACATTTAAAGTTTCTATTTGGGTTTAATGTGGAGGAAAACATTTCAGCCTTGTAAAAAAGTGGGACTTTAGCCATTCCATTCTCGGTATAGCTAAAACACATTCGACTTTGTTGGAACTACTATTATATTCACAAAAAGATCGTCACCGAAGCTTGGGCTCCTACTTCACTTAGCGGACAACTGGTAAGACCGGACTGATTCAACCAAAGGAGCGCAAGGTTTTGCTTTATCCACGTACCGTTTCTCGCATTCTAGGTCCCGCAGGAATAAAAACCTGCCCACCTTTTCCCGGATAACTACCGTCACTTAAGTCCTCTTGGCACTAGGAGGGAAACAAGACCCAAGCTGAGAGAGACCCGCACTCAGTGGAACCAGGCTTCAGGGTGGCGGGGCCCCAATGGCGCTCTCCCCAGCGGGTGTCGCTCCGGGGCCTAAGACCGCGCGGCGTCCCGGCGCCCCCGAGTGGAGGG